AGAAGTGTGTGTATGGATCATCTGCTGGGTCCATTTCTGGTTGGTTCATTCTGTTAGGGTGAGTGAAGCAGGCAAGACCCAAATGCAGAATAAACAGAAAAAACACCTTTATTTCAATGATTTAAGGAACAAAACAGAACACTACCTCGTAAACACAGTCAACGACAAACAATGAACCAACAATGACAGACAGAAAAACCAGAACTTAAATACACACAAGACTAATCACACAAACAAGACACAGGTGAGGAGGGAGGAGAAAAAACAGGGGCACCAGGTGAACACAATCGGGTAATCAGGAGGGAAAACAGACAGAAAGCAACAGGCAGAACAGGGGGTGAACACTCTTCAAAATAAAACATGAAACCAAAGACAGAAAAAGACAAGACAAAACGCAACAAAGACAGATCGTGACAATTATCCTGATATTTAATAAACTCCTTATAATTATTACCAATTCTAACTGGTGTATGTTGCTTTTCCTCATCCACTAGTGGGGACGTAACACTCTCTCTAAATATAATATGGTTAGCTTTGAGAATTAAACATGACAGATTTGCTTCTTGAATGTGTCAGCTTGCACCTTTTTTAAATGAATTCATTAAAAACATAGGATTGACAGGGGTATTGGCAGCGAGGCCCACACTGACAGTTCCACATAGGTGCGTCATATTGGGTCACACTGTCAGTACAGGTTATAAATATGAATTGGCTTACTATGCGCAAAAAGTAAGGGCTTTACATATTCCAATTTTAAAACGTTTCTCAAACACTCCGACGGAACATGACATAAGTATAAATATATAAATAAATGTATAAATAAAAGTATGAATAAATACAGTAATAAATGAATAAATACGGAAATAAATAAATACAGGAATAAATAAATCAAAGATTAAATACATTTTGAAATAGTATACATGTGGAAATACATACAGGAATAAATAAATGCATAAATAAATATGGGAATAAGTAAATTAATGTATAAATAAATAAATAAAAGTTGAGAATAAAACAGAACATACACACCTTTAATGTACAGTATTTCTACATTTATGTTCACTTCTGAATCTGAAGGTCTGATTCTGTTTTTTTTGGATACACAAACTATATTTGACCCTTGTTGACATTGCAACATAGGGCATTTGTTCTGCATTCATGTGGTGTTAGTATAAAGCTGTAGGTCAGGAAAACTTCCAAGGTTCACATGAATGCACCACTGGCCTTGGTGGAGTTCTGTGCTCCCTGGGGGTCGTTATATTTTATTTAGTGATGGATTTGTCTCTTACCTCTGTTGCTGGAGAGATTTCTAGTGGTGGTCTGTGGGATGGACTGGGAAGGAAAGATAAAAACAAGAGTAAACTTTGGTGAGTCATCTCTACTGACCTGCATCTGTTTGCACCTAGTTAGTTACACTACTAGTTACATGCCAAATAACAATATAAAGTTAAACCTCATGTTTGCCGAGATTACATTACATGTTACTTGTTATACGCTTTTATCCAAAGCGACTTACATACTCAATACTGTGGACAATCCCCACAGGAGCAACTTGGGGTGAAGTGTCTTGCCCAGGGACACAACGACATGCTGACTGCAGTGGGGTTTGAACCTGTGACCCCCTGATCCGAACACCAACGCACAACTCCACTGCGCCACACACCTCAACAAACCCATAATCTGATAAGGACAATACTGAAACAGACCTGTTTATCCACGATGTCTGCTGCAACAGGCCTGTGTATCTCTGCTCTGAGACTCTGACACTTCTGCTCCTTCTCCTCAGCCATGAATTCGCAATGTAGCGGATTTATTTTCATGCAGATAGTCGAAGACCTTAAAGTAACGCAACTAACGAGATAATTTCATGCATAGTAACTGCAATGTTATTACTGCTGAATAGACAGTAACGCGTTACACTAATGCGTTACAGACACATCTAATCTGATTACTGTAACTCGTTACTTGGCAGCGTGTCACCCCGAACACTGGTTATGACTACTTGTTGTACATTTTAATATAGCGATTTAAGTGATTCTGTAATACAGCATGTAGTCTAATGATTTTCCTTTACGGTTCTTTGCACTTGAAACACAGCCAGTTGGTGCCTGGTGGTGGGCTTCTTTATAACTCTCAGAACTCTACGTGCAACAGACTGATGGAGGACTCACGTGGCAGCGTTGCCCTTCTCCGTCAGCACCCGCAGCAGGAACGTTCCCTGCTGATTGGCCTCTTGTGTTGAGGGGATGATGATGTAGCGACCCGGGGGGAGGGTGCCTCGAAGGACCACCTCCCTGCGGCGGGAGTAGCTGGGGCTGCAGAGGACCGGGCGCTGGGCACTCAGGTCCTCCGGAGACAGATACGTGTTCTTAGGGTGAGCCTGCAGAGACAGCACACTCTTATAATACGTGGATATACAAAATATAATCTAATAACTCTGGTTCCCTACTGAAAACTGGTCTCAACAGAGCGGAGACTTGAACCCTGGACCTTCACATTAACAGAACCATCCTGTTCACTGTGGTGGAAGAAGTATTCAGATATCAAGTATAATAAACAACACAATATTGTAAAAATATATACATGAAAATATTCCTCTCCATGTAAAACCTTACTAAAGTGACAGAACATAAACATTATGATCAACATATGCATAAAGTTGCAAAAGTAAAAGTATAGAAGCGCACCTTATCTCCTAATAATAATACGATTTATTTGTATAGCACTTTTTTTGCACCAGGCGCAGCTCAAGGTTTTAGACATCAGGCCAGACGTTAAAACCTTTCAGTACATATGTAGCATAAGAACACGATATAACAGTTTCACACATCATTGAAAATGTATGATAATAAAAAATGAAACACAATAAAATAAATAGTGATCCCTGTCGATAAAATAAAGGCTGAAAAAATCAGTACAGACATCTTCAACAGGTCCCTGCTGCAGTCTGTAGTCCCCACATGCTTCAAACACTCCATCATTGTTCCTGTCCCTAAAAAGTTTAAAACCACCAGCCTCAACAACTACCTCCCAGTGGCACTGACCATCACATGATAATGTCATGTATGAAAAACATATACGCCCAGTCCACATATGATAGAGTGGATTTGGAGCGGTTTGATAAGCCTGCCAAAGTCAGAGAGACGGTGGAAGAGAGGGAGAAGTGCGTGTGTGTGTGTGTGTGTGTGTGTGTGTGTGTGTGTGTGTGTGTGTGTGTGTGTGTGTGTGTGTGTGTGTGTGTGTACCGGGAATATATGCAGGGCTATATTCAGGTCAACGCCCCTGCGTCTCTGGTGTTTCTGCATCAGAGCCAACACGAAGGAGCATGTTTTCTGAGTGCTGGCTGTGCTGCTGTCCACCTCCGACAGGGTGAAGTAGAACTGAGGGTTCTGCCAGAAGGAACCTAAAAAAACACAAACACACACACACTCACAACAAACTTCTCTGTAATTGTTGTGCACATGAAAAAACCCGAATTGTGTGCAAATGATCCTGTGCCAAGTGATTAGTTACGATGATGGTGAAATCAGACTACACCTACTGAGTCAGTGTTGCATACTGTTGACACACGCTGTAATGGGCACCACTTTGGTTTTTATAGCTGAGAACAAGTAAAACCTGTCTCAACCTGATGTGTTGACAACTAATCCCAATGTAGAACAGAATATTAACATCGTACAAACAGAGATCAGCAGACAGGGCATGAAAAAAGAAGAAGGATGTTCCTGACATCAGGACTTTAACTAAGTTACTCAGAGGAACATTAAACTGTTTCTGAAGCAGGGTCAGTTAATACTAATGCCTTAATACATTAGCCATATAGGCAAACAAGACAATTAACAAGTTGACTGGCTATATGTCAACAAAATAAATTGTACAAGGATTTTATTTTTGTAATGTTAAATTGTTGAAAATCACATAACTGTAGCTCAATTTGCTCGGGTAGTAGCACAAAAAAAAGAAGAAGATGTATAAGGACATTAGAGTCGGGCGATATGATGGTATAGCAAGAAATGTATCCACCAGTAGAGATTTTAACAATGGGATTAATAATAAAAAGAATCTGCAGTTAAAAAAAAATACACATTTAAACTTTAAATGTATTAAAAAAAATCAAGTTCTTCTTCTCAATCATTTTAATTTATTTGTTTTTGTTTTTATTTGTAAATGTCATTATCGGAAAATGGTGCTATTATTACAACTAATACTTGGAGACGAGTAATGTAGTTCACTTGTAACTGAAGTTCAACTGCAGATAGACATTTTAAACTCATCTCACCTGAACAGGAGCTTGAACCCTGGATCTTCAGATTAGCAGCGCGAGGGTCTATATTTAATTGAGTTATACATGTTAGTGTGACATACATACTCGATGTAATTACACCTATGTTTTGGAAGTTGAATCACTGTCCTGTTGTTACTGTCTGCTTGTAGTATTTTAAAACATGTCTCAGATTATTGAATATATTGTGAACTTTAACAGTCAGAGCCTGGATAGCTCAGTCGGTAGAGCATCAGACTTTTTTATTCTGAGGGTCCAGGGTTCAAGTCCCTGTTCAGGCGAACACTTTTTAAATAGTAGAAACAGACATAACAGTCATAACAAATCATTCAGAAACTAACATCTAAATATAAAGAGCTCTAAATGATATGCATGCAAATACAAATGCTGCCTTCTGCTAATGTTGTTCAAGTGAGTTGGGGTTAGATTGTCCTTGGAGCTTACAAACACAGGACATATGTACACTAGCTGCAGCTCAACTTTAGTTACAAGTTATCTACATCCCAACTGTCCAAGTATTGATATAACAATAGCATTATTTATTTGTACATAATGCAATGTGCAAATAAATACATCTCATACTCAAACAGTTCAAGAGTAATATTTCTAAAACCTTTTTTCTGTTTCTTACTGCATACTGTTTATTTCGATATTATAGTGAAGTGAATACACATTATATGTTTCACAGCACTTGTTTATTAGAAATGTTAGTGTGAAGTGTTGGGCATAGATTTGTCTCATAATTATTTGTGTGAACATAAAAATAATTTGTGTATAAATATGTGATTTCTAAATATAAAACACCATCCACAAATGCATTTAAAAGATTTGCAAACTCACAAATACATTTGCAAATGTAAAACGGATCTCCAAATACGCAAAATATTTTCACAAATAAAAAAAAGATCTGTGAATATCTCTTCAACATTTACAACTTTCGATCAGGCATTTGTGAATCCATTTTGTATTTGTCAACCAAAAATGCGCTTGTGGATCTCAAATCTCTGCTCGTGGATCTCAAATCTCTGCTTGTGGATCGTCTTTTTACACACACAGAGTTTTGAGACCAACTTTCCGCCGGTCTCGGCTAGAATCTACTCGTGTCACTCGGTTATTTTCGGAAACCACGTGATGGCCCGCTGATGACGACATTTCCGCATAATTTCCTAGTAAGAGCATGATGGTTTGTTTAAAGGTCCCATGTCATGGCCATTTCTACTGGTCATAATTCCATTGTTGAGGTATACTAAAATACATTTATATTGTGCAATGTTCCAAACTCACATTGGTTTATCATACAGCGGGTCCCGGGGAGCTACAGCAGCCCCAGAGATAACTCTTTCTTCATTGTTTTTTGTGTATTCAGTCAAGCGGGTCAAAGTTACAAAGCACTTCACATCTTATTAATCGGCCTAGTTTGACCTTACCAGTGCAGTGGTAAAGTAATCTGTAGAAAAGCACCGTATTTAGGTCAGCCTTCATAGTAAGGCTACATTAAATGTTATAATATTCATTGTGTCCTTTCTACTGTATATGCATATATTCCTGCCTATTGCTTTCATTTGTATTTAATTTTATTATGTTTATACTTGTTTCCACACATTTCACAATTTGGGATGAATGAAGTATCTATATATGATATCCATCTATCTATCCATCTGTTGTCTATATATCTGTCTGTCTGTCTGTCTGTCTGTCTGTCTAGAAGTTGTTTTGTTTGGAAAGGTTTTGTCATTGTATTGCTCTTTACCGGCACCTGCAGGGTACAGGACTTTACATTGTACTTACAATTTTACATTGTAACTTTGACCCGCTTGACTGAATACACAACAAACAATGAAGAAGAGTTTTATCTGGGCTGCTTCGCTGCCAGCTGGCTCCCGCCGGGATCCGAAA